TGATAAGTGATTTTTCTCATTAGCGTCCTCCAAATACAAGGCCCAAGCGCCACTCAACGTTGTGGAATTATATTAGCGTAAGGCAGGGAAAGGTAGCAGGAAAAAATTCCATCCTTCGCCTTAAAAGCTTTGAAAATCTTGCAAGACCTGCAGTACGCGGAAGGTTTGAAAAGTACTGATAAGAGATTATTTTTTACTAATGTATACCTAATACAAGGCGTTTGAGCCACTCAAGATAGAGGGTTACTGTGTGAAGATGTTTTAGCCTAAAATATCAAGATACCAGGAAAGAATATTCCTTCATTCCATTCAATTAGCGAAAAATATTTGAGAGTTCAGGCTGACCTGCTTGATTTGAAGGAATTTGAAAAATTTTATTTTGTCATAATTTTATTTGTTTATTTAATTTTTTTTAAATTGGAAAATGTAGATTTATTTATCTATTTGTTCGTATATCTTTTGGTAACCACACACTCACATAAATGGGATTTGCTTAATTAGTCTTATATGGGAAGGGTTTGATAAAGGATGGAGTCGTTTATGGGAAGGGATTGATAGAGGAAGGAATTTTTTATGGGATGTGATTAATAGGGGAAGGAGTCATTTATGGGAAGGGATTGATAGAAGAATGAGTCATTTATGGGAAGGTATTAATAGGTGTAGGATTCGATTATAAGAATGGATTGATAAAGGAAGGAGTCGTTTACAGGGAAGGGATTGATAGAGGAAGGGGTCGTTTATGCGTAGGGATTAAAAAAGGAAATAGGAAAATGTCCTTTCACTGCTTCAATCGTCGGGGAGACCTAAAGCCTGAAGAAGTAAACAATTACCTCCACAGATGATCTGTTGGCGTTTGTTCTCAAGAGTTTCGGCATTGTCTTTCCTGTTCAGTCTGTGATGATTGAATGACCAGCTCTTTCGTTGCTGTCTCCGCTTGCATCTGCCTTTAACATTGCCTTGCATGATTGTTTTGAAGAGGCGGTTATACTGTGTGAAGTGTCCAAATCATAACATCCTCCGACGATTAATAATGGCGAAGAGAGATTGCTGTCGGCACACCAGACATTTCACCTGGTTTCGTACATAGTCATAAGGTTTTACTCCTAGTAGGATGCCGCCATGTTGCCTGTGTGCTTTACTGAATGCCATTCTTACTCTTGTCCCTGTTCGTTGGTCCGTCTCCGCCGGGCCTACTCTGCTTCAATTCTGTCCCCCCCCACTAGTTGTGTTCCAGTATCCGCAAGAATATTGGTGAAGAATTGTCGAAGATCAGGTTTGACTCCTCTCTGTCCTGGTTATGCTTGAAGCTTAATTAACTCCAAAAACACTCATTAACGAGTGTCAAAATAACAACTTTTATTTATGGAACTATGACTGATTAAAATCATGAATACATAAACAGAAAGGATCTGAAGAAGTTTCCTTGTATAAGGAATTCTTAAGCAGGGAAAAAGAAGTTGACTGTCGGCTCCAATTATGGCTAAAAAGCCAAGAGTCGTTCAACTATTTAAATGAAGGCAGCTGATCAATGGAGTTCAAAAAGCGGTGCAGAAAACAATTGATTGAAGCAACACGCCCATATGGCAGGGAGAGTGTTGGTCTATTAGCTGCGAGGCCAGTTGAATATTTTCTGCTCTTTCGGCAACTGCAAACCCCATTTACACTGTTCTGACTAACCAATAATAATGCTTGACCAATGGTATTGGATAGCCAATAATATTACTTGACCAATGGTCTTTGTCATACAGCTCGAAGTGATAGAACGAAAGGGCCAAAGAACCCAATATGATTAGTGGGTCATTCAAAATAATGGCTATGTCCAGAATGGAGCCGAGTGGTTCCATCACAGCCTTTCTCTCATGTCCAGAGGGGAGCCAAGAGGCTTCATCTCAACCCTTCTCTCATTGGTGGTCGATTCAAAATAATGGCTATGTTCAGAGGGGAGGTGAGAGGTTCCATCCCAGCCCTTCTCTCATTGGTGGACCAATCAAAATGCTGGTATTGTATCATTCATATCCACCTTCAGCCATGTTCCAGAATCTCACCTTAATATGACATTACATTACTTTATCTGAAAGTGTGTCATATCCTTGTTCAAAACAAACCTGACCTGTAAAGATTTGCTTTGTGACCCCTCTATTTCAACAAATAATTCCTTCATCAAATGAAAACAACATTTAAGTTAAACAGACATAAAACCTAAAATTTTGCCTAATGACCAATCTATGCCAAGTTCACGATTTCATTTCTCACACTATGCTCTATAAGTAAGACAAACCAGATCATTCATTGTATCTCATTGTTTTAACATGAAAAATATTTTTTTCTTTCTTTAGAAATATAAAATAGATCTCCAGTCAACCTTTGACACCAATCATGCTTTTATAAGGGGGGGATGTGGAGGAGTTTACTCAAGCATTTCTTCTCCAACATCTGGATCCTTTTTCCTCCCTTAACCAGGAGTCAAACACCCGTGGAGGAGGATTGATACGACAGGCGATTTGTTGCGCTTGAAGTTGTTCTTGGTTTGTGTTACTTATAGAATATAGTGTGAGAAATGAAATTGTGAGTTTAGGTAGGATTGGTCATTGGGTACAGTCTTAGGTTTTAGGTCTTTTGAATTTAAGTGTTGTTTTCATTTGAAGGAATTATTTGTTGAAATGGATGATGTTCCGCTTCCATATACTTTCCAGTCTAGTCATCGCTTCTGTGGCTGTGGTGATATGTGTGCAGATTTCTGCATTTCAGGCGACATATTTGACAGGATCACTTGCGTCTACTTTGACATCCCAATCCCTTTTGTACAATGATGTTGCGTTTTTAGGGTCTTTTGCTATGGTGGATTCTATAAATTCTTAAAATGTTTCGACTTCCTTGTCATTGAGGTCTGAACTTGATGCATAAACCCGGATGGTGGTCATGTTGTGCGGTTTTGCTGACACACGGATAGAGAAGACAATGAATGCCACTCTATAATAATGTTTTCTTCTCCTCTCCGGAGAAGAAGACCTTTTGTCCATCCTCTGTTGATGTTTCACCGATGCCAGTTCATCTGTCTTCCGACAGCCCAATGATGTCTCAGCAATAACGTCTCAGTTCCTGAGTTCTTGAATTCTGTTGCAAGTATAGAGGGCACGAACATCCCACGTTCTGATGGTTTCACACCTGCGCGTTGGTAGTTTCCTGCTGTATCTCGTCCCATGTACGCTGTTGTCACGCCCATTCTGGAGTGAGGCAATTGGACGCACCGACCTTGACCGATCCGACGCTTATAAATAAAGGTTACCAAATAAAATGTCCGCACTTGGTCTGATCATAAGAAAAAAAAAATAATTCGAGCAGCGTAGATATTCTCACGTGTTTAATATAGACTACATTCGAAATTAATGATTTACGTTAAAAAAGTTTGGCCGGGAAAGTAATGATGTATGTTGTCTCTAAGAAATCAAAATAAAAGACCATCCTGGATATGAAAATAAACTACATGTACGTAAGACAATAAACTAAGTACAACAGCAAGACCTCTGATCAGGAGGTTTTGAGGAGCATGGAACCACCTCTTAATTGCTGGTGTTCCCAGGTCCACACTGACCCGGGGTGGTAGCACCTGTTAGGGTCCCAGCTATGAGAAAAAAAGGTAACCCCCAAACTGGGGTCAAAACAATATGAAAGTGTAAGAATATGTTTTCATACCAGAAATACTTTATAAAAAATTTTATTACCAACAGTACATTATTTCCATACAGTTTTAAAAAAAAACATATTACCAGCAATACATTTTTGAAAAAATATTACCAGCGATATATTTTTAAAAAAATATTACCAGCAATTTATTTTTGAAGAAAAAATATTACCAGAAATACATTTTTGGTAAAAAAATATTACCAGCAATAAAAATCAAGTCGGCGTCAAATAACCCATTGAGGTTGACATGACGTAAAATAAACGTAAACAAAACCAAAGCAAACCAAACCAAAATAATATCAAAGAACGACTTGATATTCATATCAAAATTAGACAAAACCTGTTAATAGCTCTAGAAACAAACAGTAAATGTTTTGGAATTAATTTTGTTATCAATACCATGAATAACATGGAACGAACCACCATATTTATACACATTGGAGTACAGCATTAAAAGAACTATCAATAAAAAGCCATTATTTATCTGTAAATACTATGAAGACCTTGAAAGACTCACCGTACTTTTGTGAGTTAATTACGGGAAAGAGAGGTTTGGAAAGAAATGATAAGAGATATTTACAAGATTACTGAAGATATCGCATTGATTTGCAGTGAACCTTCAAATTGAAACAGCTCTCATCATGATGATAATGCATTTCGTTAAAGGCATACATTCTAAGCGTTTCAAAAAAAAAAAAAAACAATCTAGGAAATGATCATCGGAAGTATATGAGAAGAGATTTGAGAAATGAGTCGGGTACATTTAAGTACCAGTCTCGGTGAATAATCATACTTGAAGGAGAGTTTATTAATGGAAACGAATTATTTCTTTCATTTGCAGGCAGATGAACCGTTATTTTCCAGGCACACATGCATCTCACTGGTATTATATGCAATTTTGATATTACAAAATTGATGTTGATATCCCTTAAATGTAATGCAGCTGTTTACCGTAAAGAACAAACTATATATAATTAGATATATCTTAATCTGTTATATATATATATATATATATATATATATTTCTGTTTGAAACTAGATGACACGTTTCGCCCTTACTAGGCTTCATCAGATCAAAAACCAAAGAAAGAAATATGTGTGTGCATTTGTGTGTATTTCTGTTAAGCTGATGTTTCTCCTGATTAAAAAAAGAATGAAATTCTGTGACTTTTGTACCCCCCCCCAACCAAAAAAAACTTAATATTTATTCTGTATTTTTTCTTTACAAAATTTTCTTGTTCTCGATTAAATTTATTTATACACCCTCTCAGTTTCCCTGCATTGAATTGAAGCTAAATCCCCATCCAATTTTCAGAATGGCTCGAAGACTTAGCAGCTTTCCTGTTCCCTCTTTCTCCCTTCTCTTCTTTCCTTTATTAATTTTTCTTACTTTCTTCTTTTCTTCCCTTTGTACTCTTTTTCCACTTCTTTCCTCTCATTGTTATTCTACCCTCTTTTTCTCCTTTTTCATATTTTTCCCATTCTCCCCCTTTTACCTTTTTACACTTTCTACCTTCTTCCTCGTCTTTCTTTTTTGCTCGTTTTTCATTTCTTTTTTTCTTTCTTTCTTTTTCTCGTTTCCGTTCCCGTCCTTGTATTCTCCTCTTTTGTTTTTATTCTTTCTCCCTTTCTTTTCTTTTTTTCCTTCATTTCTTTTCGCACTTCTTTTCTTTATTTCTTTACTTCTTTTTCTTTTAATTTTACAACTTCATTTTTTCTCGCGTTTGATTCTTTTATTCTTTCCTTTGCTTTCACGTTTATCGTTTCTTTCTCCAGATGGTATCTTCTTCTTTCTCTCTATCTTTTATTCTTTCTTTCTCAGATTCGCCCAGCTATTCTTCTGTTCACTCATTTTCTCTCCTACTTTCTTTCTTTTTCTTTCTATCGCCAACGAACGCACATGAATATTGATATTTTGCATTTACGCGCGACTACAGACAACTGAAGTTAATGACAGAACATAGAATTTTAGCATTTGGGTTCAAATCCCGGAGTCGGCTAAAGATTAAACACTATCCGTTACACTATCCACATATTCAACTCAAAACAAATTTTTCTTTCTTTTTTTTTTACTTTCTTACTTCAGTAATATTTTTCTTTCTTGCTTTATTTTTTTCTTATTTCAATAGACTTTCTTTTTTCATCCTTATTCCAAGAGACCTTCATTAATTCTTTCTTTCTTTCTTTCTTTCTTTCTTATTCCAAGAGACCTTCTTTCTTTCTTTCTTTCTTTGATCTCTTTCTTTCTTTCTTATTCCAAGAAATCGACTTTCTTTCTTTCTTTCTTTCTTTCTTTCTTTCTTTCTTTCTTTCTTATTCGAAGTGACTTTGTTTCTTTTTATCTTATTTCGAAAGACCTTCTTTCTTTCTTTCTTTCTTTCTTTCTTTCTTTCTTTCTTTCTTATTCGAAGTGACTTTGTTTCTTTTTATCTTATTTCGAAAGACCTTCTTTCTTTCTTTCTTTCTTTCTTATCATGACAACAAATACGCCATTTAATAGAAGTAAATGACCAACATAGCGCTGTCAGTGAACTGACAAGAAGAAAAAAAATCATAGTCAATTATTTGTTTTGATCTGCGTACAGCGTTTGTGATGAACACATGAAAAAGTGTTTATACCGAGTTTATATACATTATTTTCTCGAAACCTAAAAACACCGACTCTGAACACACGGCTTCGAATGCGTAAAACTGGACACAAAGAGAAAAAGAAAAACAACGATTGCAGAATTTTCTAATTATGTTTAATATATGTAAATGTATACATGAATCCACTTGTTTACAGATAGAAATGTGTCTGGGCGTCTGTAATCACACACACACACACACACACACACACATATATATATATATATATATATATATGTGTGTGTGTGTCCGTGCGCCCGCGTGCGTTTAGCGAGAGAGAGAGAAAAGAGAGAGAGAGAAAAAATATAGAGAGAGGGTTGTTTTTTTTCGGTACAACTTTATACAAAAGCCGTGTTGTAGATATTTATTTATGCAAATGTATGCGTGGATTTTGCACACAAGCAAGACACAAGCGCTTACATATTTAATGACGCAAACAGTATATTTAAACACACACACACATACATGCACACATACATATATATGTATATATATGTCTGTATATATATATATATATATATATATATATATATATATATATATATATATATATATATATATATATATGCATGCATATTATGAATTATTGGCGGCGTATATTCACAAAGCGGAGAATGAGCAGACCACTTCTGACTTTCAGTCCTCTTCTCATTTCATTTCTTCAACCTCTACATATAAATTATAACATTCACGAGCACGAATATATATATATATATATATATATATATATATATATATATATATATATATATATATATATATACACACACACACAGTTAGGGGGAAACAAATATTCGTACAGATACAATTTTTTAATTGAATTTCCAACTAATGAATTAACATACTTTTCATATAATTAACCGTACACACATGCATAATAACTAAATATGCATAGAAATAGAAAATAATTATTTAATAGAAATAAATCCCATTCATCCATTTTGATAGGTGAAAAAAAGTATACGTCCAATACAAAAAAGAATACATAATCTTCATTTAATACTTTGTAGAATAGCCATTATTTCACTTCTAGAGCAACCAACCTCTTCTTGTAATTCTCAATGATTTGCAAATTTTAGTTAGTATTTTTGTTCCATTCTTCTTCGCATATGGTCTTCACATCTGGGTTGTTTATTGGTGCATTTGATTGGATTTGAATTTTCAAATAACGCCACCGATTCTCGATCTGGGTACTGACTTGACAATTTCAGGAAATTTACCTTATTTTCAGCAAGATTTTCATAGATTTTGCATTATCTTGTTGGAAGATCCAATCAGGAGTAAGTTTAAGATTTTCAACCAAAATCATTAAATTTACTTCCAAAATATTTTGATATGCTGCAGCATTTATTCTAACATCTATTGCTGATATGTTGCCAATAATTTTTGCAGAAAAAAACATACCCACCAAATTTCACTATTGAAACTGTGTTCTTTTGTTTCATGGTATCGCCATCTTTCCTCCATACAAGATTTCTCGAATTATGTCTAAACAACTCAATTTTGGTTTCGTCTGTCCACTATACTCTTTTTCAATACGATTTTTCCTTATGCATATGTTCACGAACGAATTTCAACCTGGCATCTCTGTGTCTTTTCAAAAGCAATGGAGTTTTCCGAGAGGAGTGTGACTTTAGATTGTTCCTATGGATTTCATTGCTTATTGTCCGTTTAGTGACACAGATTCATGATGAAAGCAAATCATCCTGCAACTCTTGACGAATAACCATTGGATTTTGTTTAATTTGACGCAATAATTGCCCCAAAGATCTTGAAGAAATCTTCAGTGGAGCACCTGTTCTTCTTTGATTTTCAACAGTTTTAAAATTTTTTATACCTTTCAATGAATGATTTAATTGTAGTAAATGGAATATTCAGGTGGTTTGAGATTTTCCTGCAACTTTTACCTTCTTTCCAGAGCTTAATAATCAGTTCCTTTTGCGAATTTGTCAATTCTTTACTTCTTGCCATGATGAAAACCTTCTTGCATGAATATCAATTACAGAATATATTTTTTAGGCTAAAAATAAATACTGATAACATTATTGGAACATTCTAGAATATCCTACTTGGATAATCTGTGGTATTAAATCAAATTAAAAAATTATAAATCTGAAATTTGCATTGAATATTTTTCACCCATTAAAATTATAACTAATTCTAATTTCTATATTTAATCCCCCCCTCTATAACCTCTTGACACTATATTTATAATTTATAAACTTTCCCCTACTTTAATATCTCCCTAATTCTCTTTCCATTAATCCCTTACATACTTTTATCTTTATATTTTAAATTTATTTTTAGAGCCCTTTTTATTCCGCTTTTAATTTTAAATTAAAATTTCATTCTTTATATAATCCCAAATTGATGTCATAATGTCATTCGGGTTTAATTTTATAAAACTTTACGACAAATACGTTCCACCCTTCCCTGTCCCATGTCTCGAGCCTTTCGTCTGACTGAAACATTGAAATGGATAAATTCTCTATTAGTTTTTCGACAGGTTGGTCTTTTAGCTTTCCCTGTTAAATTCTACTTCCTGACTGTTTAAACACGAACCCAGTCCACACCGGGGTTGATAAGACAGATGGCCAATATCTTCGTCTGCCGAAATAAGCTATCCCCATATGAGGTAATTTGGGATTTTATTGTTTATTAATTATATTACTTTGTATTGATAAATGCATTGAGCTTTTTTTGTGAATCAGTTTTAATATCTTATATTACTAGAATCCATTTGGATTATATACCAACGGATTTTTTTACCTTTACTATATATATATATATATATATATATATATATATATATATATATATATATATATTGTGTATTTGGGCAGCAATCCCTCTTTTATACAAGTTTCGTTAAAGACGACTGACAAAATACTGCGATTAAGCTTTTGATTTATTCTTTCTTCTGTTCGTACAAGTTTTTTCTTTTCTCGGCACGAAGTATGTAAAAATTGTCCAAACATTCTTCACATTCTCTCCCCGAATCTTGCAGACAACGCGCTGCAAGAATCGTAGGTTAATCAATGTTCCACAGCGAGTCTGCCTGTTTTCTAAGCATTGTTCTGTGGCTCAAGACCGAGGAAACAGAAAGAGTTCGAAACGAAAACATTTAGACAGACAGACAGACAAAATGGAAGATTCACAGAGATATAGAAAGACCGGAGGAGAAAGAATGATCGATACAATTCAGGCAATTTTATATCTGATTGGCCTTATTTTTGTTATAAGAGACATCAATCTTTTTAATTGTTTCCTCAATCCACATCGGGGATAGGTAATTAAATGTGGAATCATTTAAAGTAAATGAACCGTGAAGATTGCGAATTTTACTATACTTGTTGGGTTTTAATCTGGGGTTTATGGATGAAAATGAAAAAGGGAAAAGCGGAAGAAGAATGGAGGTCGCGAGAAAAGAAAGAAAGTCTCTTGGAATAAGAAAGAAGAAAGAAAGAAAGCAAGTCTCTCTCTTGGATTAAGAAAGAAAGAAAGAAAGAAAGAAAGAAAGAAAGAAAGAAAGAAAATCTGTCTCTTGGAATAAGAAAGAAAGACAGAAAAAGAAAGAAAGAAAGAAAGAAAGAGAGAAAGAAAGAAAGATGGAAAGTCCCTTGGAATGAGAAAGAAAATGAAAAGAAAGAAAGAAAGAAAGAAAGAAAGAAAGAAAGAAAGAAAGAAAGTCTCTTGAAAGCAAACAAAGTCACTGAGATAAGAAAAAATATCTTAGATTTGTCTTGGGTTGAATCACTTTTGCACAAAACTGCCTTGGAAAAAGGCACGAACCCGTGTCTCCCTAGCCTCCCTCAGTAGTCTAAACTAGTAGAGACTTTAGTTTAGATTCTACATCGATTCTTGAGAATGTCTGAGAAGATCGAAAATATTTGAAAAAAGAACGGGACAAACAAAATGTCGATCCCAATACGCAACACCATATTTGAAAATTGGAAAGATACAATATATGTCTATGTGTGTATATCTGTGTGTATATGTGCGTGTGTATGTGTGTGCATGCATGTATGTGTATGTGTGCCCGTGTATATCTGTGTATGTGTGTGTGTGTGTGTGTGTGGGTGTGGGTGTGTAAAAGAAATATTTCGGCAACAAATCTTCTCCCGAACAAGTTTGATTAAATTCAACCGACAAGATCTGTCTTTTTAATATTTTGATTGTAGTTTTCCAATTTTCGAATAAGGTGTTGCATATTGGGATCGAAATTGTAGATAAACAGTCCGAAGTTCATGTCTGTTTTGTTGTTTTGGTTCAAGTACTTTCAACCCTTTCAGTCATTATAAAGAACCATGTGCCGTTCTTGTAGTAGACAACAGTTCATTGACCACATCCTGATATTTTATAGAGAACGGAAAGAAGACAAAAAAAAATGAATAACACTGATGCATTCTTTTTGGTGCGATGTCACTCACTTTAACCTCTACACACATTACGTCATTATAGACTGTTTTAATCATCGAGCTCTTTTCGCTGAGTATTAATAACATTAGTGTAGTATCGTATGCAAATAAGATAGACAAGTATAAATAGAGAACAAGCGGTGAACATAAGGGTATTGCTTAGCAAACCCGTTTTCTGAACGTAATGCGGAGAATTGTGCTACGACTGCTACTACACAGTTGTTAACTCCTCCTTAATTTCCTAATTGTTCACTAGGGCACGTTCAGGCTACACTATAAATACTGGGCGATTTCTTGCCTCGTTCTCTTTTATTTACTTTACATTTCAGCGGACACATTTAAAAGATGTGATGTCTCGCAGAGATTTGCGTTTTGCCCACTTGTAGGAAAACGCCATCAAACGCACACACGCATACACATACGTACGGACATTCACCAAAATACGAACTCCTTACGTTCACGCACAAACACAAATGTTAATGTCTTGTCCATTGTAAATCTTGTTGTTTAATACATATACTTGTGTGTGTGTACATATATATATATATATATATATATATATATATATATATAACTGAATCAATAAGCTGTCAGATCCTCATACGTCGAAACCGACAGGAGTGTCCATTATTATATATATATATATATATGTGTGTGTGTGTGTGTGTGTGTGTGTGTGTGTGTGTGTGTGTGTGTGTGTGTGTGTGTGTGTGTGTGAAGAAACATAGTCTTAAGATGTGCTATATTTATGGGTGCTAAATATCAGAGATAGAGCGTGTGTAAATAAAGTGAATATCGAAGTCAACACTTAGAGACAACAGTCTGTTTCATGCTAGATGCAATCGTCAGGCCACGACGATTTCATCTAGCATGAAACAGACAGTCGCCTCTAAGTGTTGACTTTATATATATATATCGGTCTCGTTTGTTTTCCTTACAACTTCGGTTGGACTCAACTTGAGTCCGCCATATTCTTGTAGTGGACTTTTTAATATCCTATCAGGAGTTCCTAATTTAACAACACGTAAACCCACGGTCCGCTACACAGGGAGATATACCAAACATAACAATTAGGATTGAAAGCCCGAACTATTTTGTCGACTTCCCCGTGTGTCACATTCAACATTAGGTACACCAACTCGAGTTCCAGTCACAAAGAGGGGGTGGGGGAGATGTAATAAAGTAAACTAAATATGGGTTATTTGTAGCTGAGTCTGCAAGTATATATTTGGTTCGAGGCTAGGTAAATATTCGTTTGTCAATAATTGTCATTGATTCTTTGACACAAAGATGCAGATGATGGCTTTCTTCATTTGTATTCTCTTTTTGTTTTCTGACAGATGTTCATTTCTTCTGTAAACTTTTGCATTTTCTCTTTGAGTCTATAGAGATTTACTTGATTCAGGAGAGGTAAATATTAGTCGCTTAAAACATTTCCTTGGTTCGTGAGTAGTGTTATGAATGATCAAGAGTGGTCTCCCTTTGTTTTGTTATTCTCCTCTCTGAGAGAGCTATTTCTGTTTACTCGTTCTATAAAAGGACATTAAACGTGAACCTTGTATTCTCATTTGAATAAAGCTCTCTCAAAACCTGCACCCTGCGTACTTTTGTCATTACAGATAGGTTAATTATTGGTCGTTTATATTTGAGCTTGTCAGCCTCTACTTGATTTAGGGTTAGGTATATATCGGTAAATACTCGAGTTTATAAGAACTTTGTTATGAAAGCTAAATATGGGTCATTTATAGCTGAGTCTGCAAGTAAATACTTGGTTCGAGGCTAGGCAAATATTATTCGTTTTTTTTTTTATGTCATTGATTCTCTGACACAAACTGGGAATTCTACGTGCAGATAATGGCTTTTTTTAGTATGTATCCTCGTTTTGTCTCCCGGCAGATCTTCATTTCTTTTGTAAACTTTTTCATTTTCTCTTTGACGAAAAATAAAATAAAATAGCACAGAACACTTGAAATTTGAATGAGTTTTTCGGTTAATTTATTTTATTTTATAATTATGAATGTTTTAAAAACAGGAGAAAAAACAACTTTTTTTTACTTGACTAATAAAGAAACCAAAAAAATTATTCATTAATTTTTTTTTTTTTACTTTCGTTGTTTTATCCGTTATCTTCGAAGCGTAAAAATTACTCTCTTTTGTTTTTTTTTTTCAGTTCGATGCAACTGTAAGCGGTATTGACGGCCTAAATGATATATTGCTGGTGTTTTTACTATAAAAATGTATTTTTATACTTTTACAGTGTTTTGTTTTTCTTTGAGGGCTCACTATTTGCCCATAGCTGGGACTCCAGATCAGGGTGGACCTGGGAAACAACAGCAATTAACAGGTGCTTCCATGCTCCTCAAAGCCTCCAATCTCTCAATCGCTGCCGGATGTAGTTTATCGTCATACCCAGGACTAATCTCTGTTCTTGTTTATTTTATTTTATTCTATTCTTTTATTGTTGTTTGGCACCTAAAGTATAACTACAAACTGGTTTCAAGAATTAAGGCCCGCACTTTATACTGATGTTATCTTTTTATTTAAGAAGGACGCCGTGAAAACTAGAAACGAATAAACAGGAAATGAACAAACAAACTATGTTTCAACGAGATGATGACAACAATGACATTATTTCAAAGGGAAATGGCAACATGATATAACAAGGGATTAAAATTTCAGGAGACGATAGTAGGTGTTAACATTTACTGTGTTACCTCGAATGGACTGGCAGTAGGTAAAAGGTGGGGGGGAGCACTTGGGTGCTTACTTATCTCTCATAACATTAGTTAAACATTTGTATGTATATGTAATAATTTCTCAGAATTAATCTGAAGAAAAAGACAATATATATAAAAGGAAAAAAAGACAATAAGAAAACCGTAGTTTTAACCAACGCGTTTCGTCCATGGACTTTTTTCAAGGCTAAAAACCGAATTGAATTTATTATTGTGTCTTAGTGGCTTGGAGTGAAATGTGTAAAATATTCAAGATCCTCAATGGCATTGCTGACACACCCCTTATGCTTAGATAGAGGCTGAATAGATTCATGCTGCCCTGAATTTTCTTCGTCATTTTGACAGTTTTATTGGTTCCTGGAAAGGGGGTGTGTCTGTGTTAAGTGTGTCTTATTTAGTTCTTAGGGAGCATGATGTGTGTAAGTGTGTATATTAGTATGGGTGTGTGTATAAGTGTGAGGCCTCAACACCTCCACAAGCATGACTATCTTGTGTGTGTTTGAAATGTGGGTAGGGCCTTATTTGTGGAGTTATATATTGATTCTGTTGTCAAATTTGTGATTAAGCCTATTTGGATGGAGTGTTTTGAGGCGCAGATTCCACTTATCTTTATGGTTTGCTAAAAATTTTCTAATGTTATCTGCCCTGAATTTTCTATTCTCACAATTATAGTAAATTTGACATGGGTTTGAAAATCGTGTTTTTGTAGGCGGAAATGTTGTTCTACAGGTAATAATCTTTCATGGGGAGGCGACTTAATTCGACTGCGATAATTATTAATAATAATCAATAATTATTAATTCTGTAGTGAAATGGCCATTCGATTTTCACATTTTCAGATCATATATATATATATATATATATATATATGAAGATGAATCTGTCATATATATATATATATATATATATATATATATATATATATATATATATATAATAATAAAATATGCTTTTATGGTATGCTATATTAACGGGTAATTTATGGTAATAAATATATATATATATACATATAATAAAATAAATAAAATTATGTTAATATATATATATAATAAAATATGGTTTTATAGTATGCCATATGTACAAGGACAGAGAGTATGTAAATATAAAATTGTACGCTGAGGTAACACCGAGTGGAGATAGTCTGTTTCCTGCTAAGTGCAAACTTAGAGCCTGACGATTGCGTTTAGCATTAAACAAACTGTCACCTCTGAGTGTTGATTCCAGTGTCCACTTTTACATACAGGGCGTAAAATACTTTTAGAATTTTTTTTTTTTTGGGGGGGGAGTTCCTCCCACCAAAACAAAGACAAAAGTCCATATAAACGTATCTGTAGAGACTTAGAGGTATTCTGGTGGCTGTAGTAAGGCAAGTAAGTAAGAATGTGTTGTTTTGGTGTAAGGAATAATGTGGTATATTTGGATCAGTAATCGTGGTTAGCTAAGTTTAAGATATCACGCCCCCGTTTGGCCTTGTACCACATTTTTGTATTATTCAAAACAAATATTACTTTCCTCCCTGGTACCGTAAGCAAGGCAATAATGCCACTAAGATACAAGGG